TATTTGAATATAATATAAAATAATATAAATATATCATAACATAATAGATACTGTAAATATAACTAAGTAATATAAACTGAACATAAAAAATAATAAAACTGAGAAAGTAACGTTCGGTCTCTGCCGGACAGAAAACAAATAGCTATCGCGCCTCAATCGTTCACTCTAAGTGGTTAAAATGACGACGGCGTTTAAGCATTTTTAATCGAACAGTACAGGGCCATTTTCATAACTCCCAGCAAGATTCGTGGAGATAAAAGCTGCCTGAAGCACGCTCGGGACGCGAAAGCTCGTATACGTAGCGAGAAGAAGCGGCATAAATCATCGCGGAAGAATTTTTCCGGCGCGATGCACGTTCGGTGCACGGTCGTAAATAATGCACGCCTATGCCAGTCGCGGACCGCCTGGCGTGCGACCGGATAGAATGGTAAATTACAATACTATAACCCCCTCCGCGTGCGGTGTCTATAGTTGCACGGGGTAGTTAAATATTGAGAGCCGCGCGCCACCGCGGCTTCGTCGCTAGCTCGGGTTTGCATCGCGAACGGCGCGGAAAAATCGGGGCGCAATTGAAAACACCACGGTACCCGGGGGGCGAACATGTACTGGGTGGTCTGCAAGCAATGATTCATCTCGTTTAGGAGAATTTATTCGATTTCGAAAATAGCCGCAGAATTGTTGTTGAGAAATGTAAAAGTGTAAAAAGCAACAATGTTGAGAAAAATTGCTGAATTGAATACACTTTGCCACATTGTTGAAGGGAAAGTCTGGTCACCAAGTATTAAAAAATTGCTAAGTGTCATTATCAACGATGTTATTTCTACTCGATCACAATGTTTCGTGAAAGGTTCATTTTTTAGTTGAAAACAGAAGAGCAACAATGTTGAGCGAAATTGTTAAATATAATTGAAAACAATTTTAAGCACGATTAGCAACATTGTTGAGCAAAAAGTGTGTTGTTTGAGTGTAAAAATGTGAAAAGCAGCGACGTTGAGAGAATTGCTGAATTGAACGTGCTTTGCTACACTGTTGTAGGGAAAGTCCGGTGTTCAAGTATTAAAAAGTTGCTAAGTACCATTATCCATGATGTTAATTCCATTCAGCTACAATATTTCAAGAAAGATTCATTTTTTAATTAAAAACTGCAAAGCAACAATGTTGAGTAGAATTGCTAAATATAATCGAAAACAATTTTAAGCGCACTCAGCCACATTGAAGTGCAAAAAAAGATCGTTGCTCGAGTGTAAAAATGTGAAAAGCAGCAATGTTGAGAAAAATTGCTGAATTGAACCTACTTTGCCACATTGTTGTAGAGAAAGTTCGGTGCTCGCGTGCAATTATTAATTAAAAATTTGCTAAGCACAGCGACCAGCGATGTTCATTGTATTCAATTTAACTTCTACTCACTTTTT